CCCTTCATGTATTCTACCTATAGGATCAACTGATGTTGCAAAGTTTCTGTGATTCAAGAGAAAAGGAAGGGGGACTACGTCACGTGGGCCTAGATGTAGGAGGGGCACGTATTCCTCTCTGCGCAGCCTGGGACAAGGTCGCAGAAGGTGAATTATGATATGCTGAACCCGATGTCCTATTCTTTGACCTCATCTAAGATAGATCCCTCCCTACAGAATCCAATTAAATACTAGTTTCCCCCTATAAGTCTTAATATCTCCTATCCACAACAAAAAAAACCCAATTCAGAAAAATACCAACAGAATAGGATCCAAACATTTTTTTCATCATCATCCACTTTTCAAATATATTCGCTCACTGCCTGAGAGCCCCCCCCCCCGCCGGCTCTCTCATCAATCCATCCCTCTTCCATGACCCAGTCACTCATGAGCCCACCGCCCCTTCAGACACGAGTCCAAGCGTCACCCCTAGCGGTGGACAGCTCTAATGCACCACCACTGGATCTTCTCCTACCCTCCCCGACATCTACATCGCTTCCAAGAGAATCCAGGAGTGAAAATCCCCCTGGTGCGTCCAAACTGGAAAACGCTGCACAACCTTCGTGACTTACCATAGCGCAAACCTGGTGGCTTGCGCGGATATGCGGTGGGCCGTCAAATGTGCGGATTTAGCCTAGCTGGGGCAGACGGTTGCTAGGTATTGCGAGCACGGAGGCAGGGCAGCCGGGGGATGGATGTTTCCGGCAGCAAGGGGGACGAAAGGTGGAGCGGTGGCTGCTGCCGGCATTCACGGTGTAATATCCTAGGTACTGAGAACTCACTAGTGGGGATATGGGTGTGAGGGGAGCAAACTCAGGAGCGTTTTTTACTATTTCCTTGTGATTCCTTGTGATTCCACTGCGCGCAAATTGACCATAGTCCACTCTACCCTTTTAAACAAATTCTGGACAAACAAGTGATAAAAATGCCAGTAGCAGATGTTCAAGGATGACAACCCGAATATGTAAGGGGGCGATTCTAGATCCCGCACCAGACCTCATACTCAAAACCTCACAATATGCAGAAGCCATCACTTGAAATAGATACATGACGATCCACCTATGGTTCTTCGTGATTTCAACTCTTTATCAGATCAGAGCCCACCCTATGGAGACTACTGTCAGCATCATAGTCTGTTCCCAATCGGATACACCACTCTTGCACGAAAGATTGAGAGTTTTCCTGTTTCGGAATTACTTGTTTCCTCTTCAACCACATCTTGAGGGCCTAAGAATAAACTCTGTTCAGAATCATGCTGTGATTTTAAATAGTGAGTCGGAAGCCTTGTACCAAACAAATCCGATCTGGAGTGCATGATTTTCACCCAAATCGTATTCTCAAATCTTGGTTAGGTTGCACCAAATGCCCATATATATATTTCAAACCTTCCTAATGTAAGGTATACATTTTGCATAGCAGCCCTATCCCTCTGCACAATTCTGTCTACAAAACCCTCCCGTTACCACTTGCTTCTCCCTCCTATATTTCACTTTAGAGTATCATAGGAGGGGGGGGGGGGGGGCACAATATCTAATCTATCTCACCGGCCACATCTCGCCCTACCTGGGCAGATAGGTGCAGAGGATCCTCCACCAAACTGAGCAACCCAGTAGCATTGTAAAGGCGGGCAAGGCACGAACAAGTAAGAAACAGAATTCCTCACAAAACTTGGATAGGTAAAGCAAAGTACCCAAATGAGGGAACTTGATACAACGAGTGAATATCGGAAGGAGAAAACATCAGACCCGGGTGTCTTCAGGAGGAGGGGGGGGAGGGGGGGGGGGGGGTTGCTTAGTTACTTGTTCTCTAAAATCAAAAGCTTGTCCCCAGCATTTGCCTAGACGCAAACGACAGAACCCCACCTTGCTCGTACAAAATTTAGACTTACCTCTCTTTATCGAATGTTTGGGCAAATTCCGTTAAAATATATTTCAGACAAAATATAAGCCGGAGATAAATTATTCCGGTAGAGAGCTACCGTATTCTACCAGAGTATCATTGTGACACTACTTGCCTTCTTATCTCGAATTGAACAACTAGAGCGCACCGAGTGAGTGACAATGAAGTGAATAGTTTCCTGAGACTCTGGTGCGCAACCAATTAGTTTCTCGGCCCCAACTGGGAACAATTAGAGGCTATGGAAGTGGAGAAGCCAAACTCTTAAACACCTTAGAGTTTTCTCGACCCCATACGCTCCAGCCATACCGGTACTATTATCAAGTACCAGGAGGGTCCGTATCTATCTCAGCATATCTTAGGCCAAGGGAAACAAAAAAAACCCCCCCAAACGCCGTCAGGCTATGGATCGTGGGGTAGTCGGGCGGGGGTGGTTTGCGGTAGATTTTTCAAGAGGAAAAGTTGTCAGATGAATAAAAGTTAAAGGAGAGAAATTAGTCAAGCCCTTCTAACTGCCCAAGATTGGTTTTGTCGGATTAGGCATCAGTTACGTAATCTTGCCAACTTCCGTGAAGGTCCCTTCCAAATCTTTTGTACCCCGCGGCCGCCTTACTCTTAAATGTGAGCCACAAAACCAAAGAGCCAACTCAGAGGCCCCACCTCAATTGATATGCAGTGATGCACCCCTATCGTCTCAATAGCTAGGGTCTGTCAAGCAACAGATCCCATCCTCCGACGCGCAAATATAAAACCAACGCACATGGGGTAATACCTCCTTTTTCACCAGGACGTTGAAAGATCTTGGTGACCTAGAACTCAAACCTGTGGAAATACAGTGCGGGCTAAACCTTTCAGTGATGTCCGCTCCTAACCCCCCCCCCCCCCCTCCATATTCTCCCCATAGCAGAGATAAAATTTCACCTCCCTCGACCCCCCCGCACCCGCGTCACATCTCATCAATAGAGCTATCTTCACCAGCCAGACACTAAACTTGGTAATCAAATGACAATGTTCACTCTTGCGGCAAGCTGCTCTCATGCCTAGCTCCGAAATCGTAACTTTCCCACGATTTCCAGCAAAACTTCTCTAGTGGAGTAAATCCATTTAAATTTAAGGTCCAATTTTCTACATCTATCTAACTAACCCCATAGTTCCCAACAGTCAGATCTAATCAATAATCTGTTTAATCTTGCTTCGCTTTTCCCTTTCCCTTATCCTTCCGAATCTTCGCAATGGCCTTCAAGAGGGCCCTCTTAAAAGCTACCCTCTTGGACCTCTCCATTCTCAACCTCTTTTCGGTGATATCAGGGTCCTCAGAGACGAGCCGGTCAGGGGTGTCGGCAAGGATTTTATCAAAGCTCTCTAAAGGGGAAGCAACGTTACCGCCCAGCCGAGTCTTGATGCGAGCAAGCCCGTCACCGCTCTTCTCCGGAGGGTCCGAGCTGGACATTGGTGATGGAATGAATAGGTAGCTTTCTTTGGTTGGATTTTCGGACTCGTGTGTGCGTTATCAGGTAGGAGATCAGACTGCGGTCCTCTGGTTTCCTGTGTGGTGATAGGAACGGGTCCCGGAGGTGAGATGGCAAAGGTATAATATATATACAGTACTCCGCAAGAGAGCAACACATGTTGAAATTAGAAGATTTTATCCAGCTGAAAGTTTCGTCTCAAGCATCGCAAGGAGGCTCTTTCAACGACTGGTATCCTATCTACCATATCGTTGAAACCTTTATCGGGAAGTTGAGAGGGATATCTGCAGATAAGCCAAGTTGGCTCTCCATCATCAGGAACGTATGATTTTATCAAATTCTTTTCGTGAGGGATTCATGTGCTCGTGAGGACTTTCAGGTTCCTCTCACCTTCAGCGGCCCTGTGAACACGAGCTCTAACTGAGCCTCCCGCTTCCCAAAAGTGAACCCATTGCTCACCATGCGGATGGGTATCCCGTACAAATATCCCTTCCCTTTCAACTGCACGACCAGCATTGTAATCACGTAATATCACTCGGGAAAGCAGATCATCTGGAGCATCACTTGGGCTTACCAGCGCTTATGAGGTGGACGCTTCTCTCTCCCTGTCCGGGAGATAGCTGTCTGGAGCCCAGATGCCCTGGAAAAGGGCAGTCGTGATACCGGCACAAGTAGCACTCATACAAGATTACCCTCCACTCTCAGCCATAACCCTTAAGTTCAGCGGTTATCAGTCTTCGCCTAGCGTTGGTTGGAACCTCAATGATAGAGGTCGAGGTTCCTTAATAGATTTTCTCCGGGGGGCAATCGCTCCACACAGTAGGATTTCTCAGTGCCGGCTGCAATCGCAGTGCAATTGTTATTTCGGGCGCTTGGACAGGTCACAGTGTTTGGTGCAGTAGAGCACACGCTGTGCGGGGCGATGCCTTCTTATCAATGTCATTGCTCTCGGCCATGACACTTCGAGGGCGAAATGAGGCCTGCCGAATCCCGTCGTCACAGTAACGACGCCCACCGGTACACACCGAACCAACGGTTATGCGGAGACCAGGGTGTTGTGCTTCTATGTACCGTATGAGGTTGTCGAGTGCAAAGCATCGCACCGCCAATTGCAGCCCGTGCGTAGCACAATCACGGGTAGTGTACCGTACGAGTACTCCATGACTCCCTCGGCAAGTAATTCGTGACAAGAGTGACGGAAGGCAACAGCCCCAAAGGTGGGGGGAGGATCACGCGCGGCAGGAGGGGGTCAGGGCTGTCTCGACAGAATGCTATGCAATACGGCACCCTATTATACGGTACTGGTAACGCCAATACCGGTAAGGCATCCACAGGGAGGCGCCTCCCCACCACCAAACTTCCGGCTCCCCCCAAGCACGCTGCATCAGCCAATTTCAGGAGTGCCTTGCCCAGCCTCTAATAAACAAACATCCGCTTTCAAATAGGGTAATTCGACGGACCCTCCCAATACCGAGCCGTGATAGGCCCCGAGGTGACTCACAACCCCTGCAACCGGGTTGGCGTTTATCACTCGTGGAGCCTCATACTTGGCAAGGATCAACCTATCGGGGAAGCGACCACCACCAACACCCCTCCATAGCTCTCTCAACACCTACCCACCTTGCACCCCACAACTTGAAACGCCTTCCCGTGCTCCTCTTCACCACCCCGAGAACCGCCACGAAAACGACACCAGCACGGTGGGGAAAATACCAGCAAATTACATTCTTCGCGAGTGGAGAAGGTCCGCCATGGAGCCCCACCGACTCTACAGTCCTATCGAGACCGCTCTCCTGTGCCATGAGCCTATTGCCAGCTCCGTCCTTGGTTACCTCGCTGTTCATGAAGTGGTGATTCTAGCGAGCACCTGCCATCCACTCCGCGCCTTCCTGTTCTCTCACTCCGGCTACTGGCACGAGACAAATCTGTGTCCGTGCCCACCCGAGCTGGCTCTCAACCCGAGAGTCATGAGATGGGACGGGCCGACCGAAAGGCTGGATCACTGGCGCCACAAGCTGCTCAGCGTCTACAAAGCCCCATACAATCGGGCCGATGACTACGAGCTTCTCACCATTTTTCTGCGAACCCTCTTTGTTCGGAATCTGGCGCCCACCATTCAAATTACCAAGGTTGTTTTCGACGGCTTGCCGATTAAGCGGGACATATTTTTCGAGATCATCGATAGGCTGTGGGCTTGCTTGCGGGTGCTGAGTGTTAGGGGTTGCACTGACCTGGAGATCTCCGACTTTATCAAGCTGTTGGACTTTCAAGAGCCCACGCATCAGAGTCTCTTTCCGCCCAATCTCAAGAAGCTCTCTGTGCGTTGTACGCTGTCCGGGAACTTTTGTCCGATCGGGCGTTGCTAACGGGGCGCAGTGTTTTGGCACGGTAGTGTACGACCATCCCTACGAGATTCGGGCCATGACTTTGAGTCATCAGACGAGGAAGTCGTTGCAACTGTCGCTTTCCCATTTTCGCTCACTCTTGATTGCCCGGTCTCTCGAGTGTGACATCGGCCCGTGTTTGGAGTGTGAGGAGAAGAGATTGGGGCTGCGTGGGGGCGATATCTGTGCCAATTGTGGCGTAGCCGATAGCACTGTGCGCTGCATTACCTGTGAGGGCACGGAGAATGCACGGAGAAGATGCGCTAGTTGCCGGAGGTGCGCCCCAGCATCCATATATTTAGGCGACCCGACATGTACTAATGGAGAGTCCTTAGGGGATTTTGTTCGCAATGCCGTGATAAAATCATGGAAACACCCTTGCCCGGTGAGGCCGCTTGCTGCAAGGAGTAGGAGGCCCCCAAATTCGTCCTGAACCTCTGAGCTGACAGCGATTTAGGTGCTTTGAGCGCGTCTCCTCATTTCCCGGTTGTGTCAAGTGCAACCGGGTAATGATCCCATCAACTGATTATCCCTTGGGCAAAGACCACGGCATAACCGGGTCCTTACAGGATGTTTGCGGGCTTTGCCATAAGTGGATGTGTACGGCGTGCATTGAAAGCGAACACCCAAACAGGGATGGAGATAGTAAGCGATGGACAATTCGCCAATGCACAAACTGCTTCAATAGCATATGTAAGGTTGTTGGAGATATCACCAACCCCCCAGAAAAATTGCCGATGTTAATGGGAAGACAGGAATGCGGTGAAAAGTATAGCGAGGAAGACTACGAGAAAGCTCTCAACCTACCCGCCGTCAGAGAGGCGGTTTCCCTGCGCACATTCTACCAAGAGGCCACCTATGCTTTAATTCAGACTCCGGTCCCCGATGCAACAGTCTCGGTTGCGGGAGGGAAGAATTACACTATTAGCTCAGAATCCGCTAGTGTCATGGCTTATGGCAGAATCCAAGAGGTTGGCCCGCCGGCAATACGTAACCTGGTTACGCAACGCGCAGAAACCTGGAAACCTCTTATGCCCCCTTGCGAGGAATGTGAGCAATGGTGGTGCTGGGAGTGCCGTCTCCGGTGCACTTGTCCAGAATCTGAGACAGACGCAGAGCTCCCGAACGGGAATGCCGAGTCCTCCAACAACGCGGACAAGACGCCCGAGACCGTTGGCTGGAGCGAAATGGATTCTGAGAGCTTAGACGGGATGGATGAAGACTCCGATGAGGAACCCGTTGAGCAGAGACAGTATCGGTGCTTGGTCCATAATAGTCAGTAATAAAAAATAAAAACTCCGGCATACCCCCCCTCCTGTCGCATCTACTAAAAGTAAGTTCCAGAAGCCCTCCACAACATCAACCCTGACAACGAAGAGTTTTGCTGGTCCTGCGGTCTCTGGCCACGCGAATACACAGACGGGCACCAAAGCCAGGACCAACAACACACCAATCACACAACCAGCGCTTCCCCAAGTCCCGTCACTGATGGTGGTGCCAACCCTGGAGAAGACGAAGACATGAACTCTAGCGATGAGTGGGAGTGGTACTCCCATCGCTCTCACGATTCGGTCGCAAGTTGGGACCCGTAATGGGTCTGCGGGGAAAATAAAAAAATTCCATTCGCTTTTGTAGAGTCTCAGCTCTTGCTCTTCCTATACATATATCCCTGCCTCTTAACTTGCTTTTGATGTGCTAGCCGGTTGGTCAGTTGGTTAGTCGGTTGGTTAGATAATCCACTCATCCGTATGTCATTTTCACTCAGTGACTGAGCTCGTCCAATTCCGCTCAGCTCGCCCCAGGGTGGTAATGGGGAATGTACGCTTAATATTTTATTTCTGCCTCGTTTTTCTTTTTCTATTTCTTTTTCTTTTTCTTGCCTTCCCCTTTTTTTTCTTTTTCTTTTCTTTTCCCGATCATCACTGAGATGCATTGCTAGCTAAATTTTAACCCAACCTATGGATCATGAAATATCATTCGGACATCACCTAGAGTTCTATCCCTGATTGGTAACATTGTAGTGGGTTAAATAAAATAAAAAATTCCCTCTTCCCCTGAAAGATGTGACTACAGTATAAAAAAAAATTTAAGTTCATTTGCTTGCTCGTTCGCTCGCTCATAGGCACGAGGTGGTTTGTGATATCCATCCATCCCCCCTTCTGTTCACGGGTTCCCGTGCAAATGTTGCGCGTCGCATACCACGGACAGATCCTGTAGGCCCAAAATGGGGATGGGAATCACTACTACGCGCAGTACTAACGAAACAATTCACGTTTGAAACGACCGCTAGCTGATTTCTTTAAGTTTTTTTCTCTTTTTTTTCCCGAATGCTGGCCCCAATACCGATGCCCAGACTTGATATATAGTACAGTGCACTAACATGTTGGGCCGGGAAGCGCGCCGGAGGGAAAAAGCGAATCGGGAAAAACGCACTGAGAATTTCAACCCCGATCAACGTTTAGCAGCGGGGGGGGGGGGGATCCGGAGGAGTGGGAGATATCATATCCGAGAGCACAGTATGTTGGATGTTTGTTTTTTTTACTCTTTTTTTTTCCCCCTGATAAACCCGGGGTTTTGATCCTAGGTGGAGGGAGAGTAATTCTGGAATGGGAATTCGGGCAGTATTCACGTACAGAACGGTACAGAACGATACAGTCAAGAATGATAGCGAAAATGCCAAATCTCGACTTAACCCCCCGTGATATCTCCCGGAAGGAAAAATAATCAGCCGGGCGGTAGGAAGGAAGGAGGAAGGAGGAAGGAAGGAAGGAAGGAAGGAAGGAAGGAAGGAAGCAAAAATGTTAAAGTATGGTGCTGGAGTGGAGTGCACAGTACTAGTAAATTACCACAACGTCGTTTAAAGCCGGTAAGACTCGCCAAATGAAATTTCCGAGTGACGACATATGAGGACTCTAGAACCTCCAGTCTCTGTCTATCGACTAGTGGTATGCGCTCCCTAGTGTTAAATTCCGTTCCTATATTGGATACGATGAGGCGGGGATACAGCTCTTTCGCATCATTGCCAGTTGACCGCGCCAGCTACTACTAAACTACCTCATCGCCTGACCCTAACCGAGTGACCGCTTGTGCGTCCCCCAGTAAAGAGCAAAGGATATCCCAACATAACCTCTTGGAGTATGGCTAGACACACTATTTTCCTTGAGTATTCCTATTTATGCAGAGGTAAGCTGTAGTGCCAAGTGCTTTTATTTACATGATTGGAAATACCTTGTCGGCTAGGCCAATCGGATTACAAGCTAGGAAGCCTACGGAAACGTGCACCCTCCCACCACACTTGAAAAACAGTTTGATATTGTTTTTTTAAAAGACTCGGAATCTCGTACTTGGCTGGTGTCGCGAGCTCACTGTTGCATCGGGAGTGCCTGCATGTGCTTTGGTCTATCGACTTGTATCATGCTTCACGCACTCTGCCAGGTTACACTATAGGTGATCCTATCCCACACATTGCTCAGGGGAGAAAAGGAAGCGTGGAAGAGCCAAACGAAAACAGAAAAATCAAAAGCAATAACCAAAGTACGGCAATGGACTTAAATAAGATGATATATCAAGCCGGAATTGGATTATCTCGCTACTGTGGCACACCTTTGTAGTCTCCGGACCCCCCCCCCCCCCCAATATATAGCCCTCTCGCCGGAATTGGGGACGGAGGTGCACAAAACTTCACTAGACTAGGCTAGCAGATATCTAGGAAATTGGGAAGATTTTTATAAATTTCTTTTTGAAAGAAAGGTAAAAGGGTGTTTTCCGCGAGATATTCCAAGCCAGAGCTATATAAGGTTTAATAGAATTCTGGGGAGGCAGTGGTGCTAGGGGCGATTAGTGTCCAGGGAGACGCCTGGGAAATAGTATCATAAACAATTGAATTTGGGGGGCGGGCAAATAATATTAACCACCTTGGACCCCAAATGCGCTGGGATCTGCAGCCTTCCGGATGTGTGAAGTGGCACAGTTAATGCTCTCCCATTCTCGGCACGAGAACCCTATAATATATTATCGTGGTTAATATCTTCCCTTCCAACCAGTAGCTCCACTACTCCCTTGTGCCCATTCCTGGCATCCAACCAGTCTAGCGTTCTGATATCCGCTATGCCTAGCTCATCAGGGAGAGACATCGTCCCCCCAGCGGCATCTTAGCCACCCCCAGGTGCCCAATCTCAATAGCCTACCGGAGTGTTGTAGTGTTGTCATCCTTAGGCCAGTTAGAATCAACAGTTCCCCTTCCGAGTGGTCGCTCCGCTGCTTCATACCAGCCCTCGGTATCCTATTAAAGAAGCACAACTCTGGCCCGATGGCTTGAGGCTGGTACAAACAACCAAAGAAGCGAGAGGGAAAAAACTCCCCACCTGCTCCGCCTTTCACTATTAACACTAACCCCATAAATTTCCCGACTAAATGCCTATGATACCCTGCGACCAAACTTCTCGCCTACCATCATATTCACCCCTCTCCAGAATTCCCGCCCCGCACCACCAACCACGCCAGTAACCTCTAACAGCCTCTAAAGCCCCTAGAATGGGGAGGTTCCAGTGATTCAGTTGCGGGACCGGTATCCAATAGCTTCAAGTGACGCTCCAGGCCTAATGGGACCAGGCCTACGAAACAAGGAACCTGAGGGAAAACGTCGAGTGGGCTGCGCTACCGGGCAGGGGGAGCAGGCTAGGCATTAAAACAGCGCTCGAGGACTGCAATCAACCCTCGCCCCCTGCCGTTACTGGATCAGGTCTCAAAGGCGCTCGTCGGAATGTGGATCCTACCAGCTAAGGAGGGCATTCAGGTTTAGGACGCGTCACATTGTCGTAGCCAACTTTCCGCGGCTCTATGTCAGATTTGTGATCTCTGCTGTTGCACTACTAGTCGGCCAACATAGCCTCGACATACGGTTGTATCATACTCGTGCACAGTACAGTACCGATGCAGCCTACCAAAGTTACCGAGAACTACAGTGCAGTGCATCCGTGCATAAAAATATCAAAGCAATTGCAGTCTACGTAATAGCGCACTAGCACCTGTTCCCCTAGGGAATTTCTGAATTGTGTTTCAATTGATAAACAAAAAAACCCAAACCCTCCCCCCAAGCATTCAGACGGGTAGGGAAACCCTCATCGCAAACAAAGAACCCCCACCATCTAGTTAAAAACCAGGTCACCATTGACGTTCGTAAGCCTTTCTCCCAAGTTGAGATCAGACTCCTGCTCGCCCCCCGCAGCGTTTCTAAGCCTTGCCCGCAACACGGGAACATTCCCGCCTCCCTCGAAGTTGAACCTGACGTTCGAGGACGTCTCGGTGAAGCCCTGACCACCCCAGGTCAAGCGTCCTTGAAAACACGTTACCATTAGCCTCGCCGAAAAAAAAAAAGAAGAAAAAGAAAATAAAGGCCGTTTCGGGGTCAGGCAGCTTACCATCAGCGTTTCCTACAACGTTGTCAAGGTCGAACTTGACATCTTTCCAAGAACCGTCAGTCCTTCTAGCCCGGCCGACAAGCCAGGTTCTGCGGTTCTCCTGGGTGATTCTGATGCCCTCAGATGATGCGTAGAAAGACATGTTTGTTGGTTGGTATCGAGGGAGTTTGAAGGAGGATACGAAGGTTTGCTTGGATAATGAGAGCGGTGATGCTGATGCAATTTTCAATGACGGGGAGGTTTGGAGTTTCGGCCCCTCTATATAATGGGAGAATTCCCCCAACGCCGGGTAAGCCAGGTAGTCCTAAGCAAACTAGGTGGGCCGGTACCCCAAACCCGTTCGTCTGCGTCATTCAATTGGGAAATCGGACTCTCGCCGGAGCAGACCAGTTCAAGTAGACAATAACATGACGCTAGAGTTCAGCATATCCCTCCACATCTCCGCGGTGATCCCGCCATCCCCTTCTAATCACGGGTTGGTGCGGTAAATTGGGATGCTTCCATCTCAAGCCCTACTATACAGCAGTTGGACAACCACTCCATACTCGCCCCAAACCTTCAATAATATGAGGCTAGATGTACGAGTACAGTGCCCGAGCACTCTAAGGCCTCTAAGCCCTCCGGGGATGCTCTCGATGCCCCCCATTACATCTCGGGATTTCGAAAGATATGTCACTCCGGCAGAACTGTGCCCGGTACGGGAAATGGTTTGTGGAGCATGACGCGTAGTGGTAGATGCAGTGCGGGTAGACCAGCCAATGGGGGATCTTCATGACATAGTGTGTATCGGGATCGCTGCAGCACGGCGTACGGGTAGCTCAACGCTATGCTTATCCCCATACAAGTACAAGCACACTACTGGAGCATCCCAGTGGTGAAGCCCGGATGAATTCGCCAAGCCAATGGCTATGACACGAGAGATCACTCGAGCCAATTGGACGTCCAACCACCGGGCTATCCACCCCTTGTCTTAGAGGCCGGGCCAGTGCCACTAAAGTCATAAATCTACGGGCATCATATCATACTTGTCCCTGGAAGCAGGCGCCGGAAAACAGAGATTAAAGGAACCTACGGCAAAAACATGGCACCCCGCACTTACTCCTGTTACGATGAGACAAGGGGGCGACAGCTGAGAAAAAAATGGACTCGACTCGGTGGCGGACCGGAAGCGGGGGAAATATCAGGAGGGCTAGTGACATGGCACTACTGGCCCAATGGTATGACAGCTACGACGAAAAATCAAATTTGCAGATCGGGGGGGTGTGATTTTGATCTTCAGATCGTCCCGCCCATCACGGCCGGTCAAAGAGTTTTTAGCCGAGACCTGATTCTATGCCCCTTTGTTGTCGGTAAACAATACCCGTGAGAGCGGGTATTGGGTATTTTTCTAGGTGGACTGAATACGGCTATGCCAGTTACTCGGTAGAGTCGGAGGACGCCCTCCTCTAGACAACTATAGCCCGTTTGGATCAGCGGTACCGGTATCCCGGTCTAAAGCTGGAAAACTCACAACTAAAATTGGGCACGCCACCGTACGTTGATCCTGTTTTTAGGGGCATTGGAGCGCCGTGATTGGTTGGAAACGCACGGTTTCTAGGACGCCGATTCACTTGAACTCTGAAAAGCCCGATTCACAACCTAGAATAGCTGGCTACTGATTAATCCGGACATATCGCGAGCTTCACCGTCCCCGACCACACTTTGGACAAGCAGTGCTGACAGACAGCTCAGACTACTCGAGCACTCGAGCACAAGCACCAGTAGAATTCCTAGAATGCTTGAGGGCGGTGAGGCATATTCCGACCAAAGAAGAACAGGGCGACAAAAGTGTGTTGTGGAGCTAAGAACTCGCGATAGCCTATGGGACGTTTGAGGAAAGGGGCTTGACGCGATTGCTGCCACTGACCGGCAATGAATCTGGCTTAACTAGCGACCCTCAAACCTACTGTATGGGGTACCGGTGCCCAAGTACTCGGTGGGGCGATTCAAAATCGGAAACTAGAGGGTGGCGATGGAGGGATAATAATTCGATCAAACAATCCCGTTACCTAGAAAGAAGTACTCGTACAATGCTACAGAAGCCAATAACCCTAAGCAGTTACTTTGCGGTTAACACACCCTACCAATAATCGAGCAAGTAAAAGGCGAGAGTCAAGGGCCCAGGGGGGACAAGGTTGTGCAGATTTGGGCTATTTCCCAATCTGATTTACACCCTCTATTTGTTTTAACCGTGTTGTCCATGGGGCAAGGGATGTGATACGACTGACTAGAATTCGGGTTGCGAGTGTCCAATTTTTGATGAATCCACATGGTTCAGCAGAGGGTCCGGAGGATTGCTTTGGGTACGTCAGAACAGAAAAAAACTGAAGCTCCGCCCGAGTACCACACAGGGGCTTGATTGTATTCCGCCTGCGTATATATATGTGGGATAGACATACTCGAGTACGGGGCCTTAACGGTGTCAGGTCCATCGCAAGCCTCACAGCACCCCAGCTCTAGTAATAATAGCATGAACAGACCCCAATAACCACAGAAAGCTATGATACCTGGCCACCACTATTCCACAGGAAACCAAGCCCGATAGTCACATCTTCTCTTTTCCCTTATGCGAACAGTGCAAACACGCCTTACGCGCGCTGTGCTGTGATAGTTTAGGGCCTGTTTGGATAGAACCGTTCCGTTCCGTTCGCCCAAACAAACAACCGTTACCTTCCGTCTCCAAACGGAAGGAACAGAACCGGTACCGGTATTTTGTAACCATGGAATAAATCGACCGTTTCCGTTCTGAAATGTGCCGGGTCGGTTGTTACGAAACGGGAGTGATCCGTTACTACAGAGGCAACTGTTTTGAAACGGAACGGCCACAAACGGTTCCGTTCCCGCCAAAAACAGGGCCTTGTCACGGTCTCAACCCAAGCCCTTCTACACGGGTGCATTCCGTATGAAACACTGGCCAGGTCTGTGGCTTCCGATCCTGGGGACCCGATAAACTCTTATTGCCGGACGCCTGTCCGGGAGTTGACTCAAAGTTATCCCATCAGCCACCAGCATTCTGCCACGATAGAAACTTTATTTTGTCGGTCCCCGCATGTATATGCCAAGCCTAGTAACATCCGGATGTCGACAAGACTCTAGTGGCAGAGCAAATAAGTCTAAGGGTTGACCTCTACAACGTCGAAACCACTTCACTACACCAACATTCCACTTCCCCAAATGATTGATATTTTTCCGGGGACCCGAGAATGGGGAGAATGAGTGACTTCGATCTTGCTATATCTGGCCTCGAAATCAGCCAAGCCGAGTTTGAGACCCATTAGTACGCTCCAAGTGTCTGGGAATACCCAACGAAGAGACGTGCGTGGCCCGGGGGTGCCCGCTCCTGATACATGGAAGACATGCCCCCCGGCACCGTACCCGTATCAAGGCTAACAATTGGAAGCACTGTAATCTACAATAATAGTAGGTTTTCCAGGCAAGAAATTAAAATCCATAACTCTGCATTGAAACCGGTCATATGTGGTGATAGTATCCCTCCGTATAATACTTCATCAAACTATCAACTCTACACTTGGCCTGGGGTTATATGTTTCTCAGCACCGTCCATCGCAGGGCACAAAGTGGGGAAGAGAACTGGTCGGAAAGGTTTCTTTTTTGGGTTCCCGGGTTCTTTACTGTTTCTCAAATAGGTATGACGCGACGAATTACGGAGATTCGTTTACTAATTACTGGTTTTGGGTTATCCTGCGAGTATTACTATACAGTGCTGTGCTCGAGTACAAGTACAATACATTAGAGTACAAGTGAATTACATCCAAGCCTGAACTTCGAATTATTGGCATGCAATGGGTCTGGATCTATATATCCACCGTAAAGCCGCTACTCAAGGAAAAAAAAAGAAAGGAAAAAAAAGCTATCATGTCACACTGTATCCGGTGAGGTCGATGAGGTCAACCCTGCGGGGTGCAGTCTTGTCTTGTCCTGGCTGGTGTGATAGTAGAAGTGGAAGTGGAAGTGGAGGATAGTTTCTTGCCCTATCCAGACAACGGAAGTAAAAAAAAATTTGATGACAATAGCTACAGTGGGTTTGGCGCTGCCATACGGCATTGACAGGTCCCACCCATCTCTAGAAGATGGAAAACGAGCTGCACTATGCTCGACTTGGCCCTGAAGCGAAAGTGAACTCGGATGAGTAAGGTACCGGTATCGGGATTAGGGCTTCGCTGTGCTAAATGAAAGCATTAAAAACTAAGCTATTGAATTACTAGGATATTTCCCATGCTGAAGGTGCAGGCATCAGGCTGTTCTCTCACTTTTTACCCATGCTCACATTTCACATGACACAAAGGCCGACCTTGCTCCCTATCGGTACTGTAGCTACGCGGCAGGGCAACAAACCCCCTCTTTTCCCAAACCCACCACATCCTCCTTACCTGATCCAGCGCCTTTCAACGGCCAATTCTCTGCAGAATTTCAAGATGCCAAAAAGTGAATAAATGTCTCGAGTTTTTTACCGAAAACTTCAACTCTTTCAATCAGATCCAGAATATCTTTGCCTTTACTGCTGTTGATGATGAGTCCAAAATCCTGGCTTGGCTGTCTCCCTTAGAGCCCCAGGTGCGACATCAAAACATTCGCAACCAGCGGGTAGACGGTGTGGGGGAGTGGCTGCTGGAAACGAATGAGTTCAGAAGCTGGTTTAATGGTAGCGAGAAAGATGAATCTGATCATGCGGCCTTGTTCTGCTATGGCGACCCGGGGGTCGGCAAAAGCTACATCAGGTATGATACCAAGAGTGACGAAGGAACGATGAACACTATTTCTGACAGGCCGCGATGGTAGTTCCTTGGTGGTAGACTATTTATGCGACCAGGCCATAGAGCAAGATATGGCTGTTGCTTGTTTCTATTATGATTTCGCTTCCAGGGAGGAGCCGTCTTCGACAAATATGCTCGGATCCCTAGTCAAACAGCTTCTCGGTGGGTTAGACGCAATTCCGGTGGAAATTAGGCAGAAATTCCGAGGCCAGAAGAAGGTGATTGGGGGTCGAGGGCTACAGCTTCCTGATATTGTGAACATGTTCCCGACTGTCTCATCTCTACAGCGCACATTCGTATGCATTGACGCTCTCGACAAATGTGTCCCAAAGCATCGGCTTGAAGTTTTCGAGGCACTGGGACAAATTTTGCGGAGGTCACCAAACACGCGATTGTTTATGACTGGAAGGTC